GCGCTGCCAGGCCAAGTGGTGACCATGCCCAGAGCTAACCTAGGTGTCGTGTACGCTTTCTAAAGTAGTTAGAAAACTTGTACCCGATGCTCCAAACGCCAAACTAGTTGTTCGATGCGCAAGAGGGTACATCAAGCTATCAACCGAAGTCATGACATCGCGCTACTTCCTAAGCCGATCGCTCTACACAAATTGCCAGAAACGGCTTCGTCGACACCTTTTAAAACTTACGCGGAACGACGTCGATTCGGATGATTTCGTGTCGAATCACAAATCCGACCTACTGCATGTACTAGCTAGCTATCCTCTCGACCGCACATGTTTTATCGCCGTTCGCAAAACGTTCTATAGCATTTTTGTTTCGACAAAAATTCGATTAGAATACTAAACAACGTTATGTGACACGAAACGTAACGTTCGTTTCTTGTTTCGTATAAATGTTTCAAGTGTTAAACATTGATTTACAATTCATGTTATACACATATGCACATAAATATGATGCTCACGCGATGTTTTAACAAATAGTACAATATAACACCGAGAGTGTTACACTATACTACTGCCGCCCGGTTCAATTGGCAGAATCTTCTTTTCTCTCGGCTCATCATAGAAAAACAATACTTTTATTAAGTATGAACTTAAACGAAGATAAAATTATATGGAAGTTGTAGAGAAACAAGCGATCTATAACTTTTGTATCTATGAAATTGATATAATATTCATATCTACATTTTTAGATCTAAACATTAAAACGATTATTCAAACAGAAATATGTGAACTATAATGTTGTAGATTTTCATCGTTTAGTACCACTTTTTTTTATCTACATATATGACTATGGCCCCGTTCGCTGGTCTGAAACTTGGCTGAAATTGGCTGAAAAACATTATTCCGGTTGAATTGTTGTGAGAGAAAAATACTATTCCGGCTGAAAAAAGAAGCCGAACAAACCGAATATGAGGTAAGCCGAATAGGGCCTATATGAAAAATGTTATAATTTTTGGAAGGTGTATTACGTATGGGTGTGAATAAATTACCTCAATCTACGCTCTGTTCGTTTGGGCTGGTTTGACTTATAAGCCATAGCTGAAAGTACCGTTGTCTGATTTGGTGTAAGAGAAAAATACTATTTATTAACTGATAAATTATGGTTTATAAGCCAAATACGACAAACGTGCCGATTCAGTAGCTAGTGTAGCATATTTTCCGAGTCCACCAAAGTTTCGACTTTCGAGCCAGCGGGGTAGGCTGATGCAGCCCAATAAACTGAGGCCTCACAGGCTCACACGCAAGGTCCGCACAGAAGTGTCGATACGCCAATACGGGCTGGTAGTGGTGGTGCGCACCAGAAGCACGACCCACGGGCTTACTGATTGTCCGCCAAGGAAGGTGGATCTTGTCTTGTGATTCTTGAAGCAAAAGCGGAAGCCCCGCTCGGGATTGCACTGCGCCTAGAAAGGATGCCTGTGTAGTGTGTACTGCGCCTAGATGAGATGCTTGCGCACCTTTGTGAGAGTCTGCGCAAAATTAAAGCAGCTAGCTAGGGCGAAGAAATGTGGGAGATTAATTTTTAGGGTGCTTTTGGACAATGGGTATCGCAAATGCAGCACTGAGTGTTATGTGTAGTGTTCCATCTAATGTTGCCAACTTGAATTGACACACCAATCAGTCTGGTTGCAGCGTGGAGTGGCTGCCAAAATTTGTGGCCGCCACAATGGACAGATGGGTCAGATTGCGAAGGTTGGTTCATGGCTGTGATCAGAGAAGGCACCAAGGCTGCGCACTCCCTGGCCATTGTCACCTTGTGGTGTATCTGGAAACAACGTAATGCAGTTGTATTCAGAGAATCAAGACGCACGCAAATGCAGCATCCATGGAAGTCAAGATGTTTGCTCTCTTTGGTCCATGGCTGACGGGAGGTTTCTCAGGCCCCTTTTAGATCGTGTGTTTTTTGAGTAATTAGCTTCGAGCTCTCAACCACTACAGCGGTCTGCTAACCCATGGATGAAGTTAATGGAAATTTATATGCTTGAATTTTAGTTTTTCAAATTAGCACATCCACATTGTAAAGGGGGGAAGAATGATTGAGACTATCATGTATACAGTCTGATCAGGCAGTCACAACTTTATAAGAGAAACAAGATCTACAATGTTGCAGTGTTTAGGCCTATCAGAAAATGGCCACATTACAAAAGGCACTAGAAAATGTGTAACGTAACCACCGCCGGTTTTCCTAACAAGAAAATGTATCGTGTTTTTAACATGCCTCTTCTCCTTTTTACTAGTTTCAGCCAAAGTGTTCAAAAAAAAATGCTATACAACACAATATATGTTTTAGCACAAAAAAACACATGATTTTTTTTTGTCTCTCTCTCCCTCTCTCTTTCTCACCGGTGTCCACTGGCGCCGGCGCCGGCGACCGGCGAGCTCGCCCCGGCGCGCCTCCCCACGCCCGCTCCGGCCATGGCAGCGGCGGATCTGTGTTTTGTCCTTCCATAGAAAAAAATTATGATACGTGAAGGCTGGAGGTAGAAAAAGGGTTGAGGCTGTTGGATCTTAATCCTATGGTGCAAAAAAATTCATGTGTTGAAACTGTATAAAACACATGGTTGTATAGTAGACAGACTAAATGAATCCAATTTTGAGCATTATACCATGGGACCAACATATCATCGATCACGTATTTAGTTTATTCTCATTGCAGGTCTTGAACCACAGTTTATCTCCATAGTCATCTTGGAAGATTTTCACCCCGTTCGCTTGTTGATTTTAGCCAGACTTAGCCAACAGTGTTTTCCTCTCACAAAAAAATAACACCAACCAGCTCAAATCAGCCCAGATATCAACGAGCGAACATGTCGTTTATCACCGTCTCTGGAATCCTTGATGACTACAAACTGCTCCAATAGTTGTTGGAAAGTTGGGTTTGTCGGGTTCTTTGATATAACACATACTTATCTCTTGGTACATGCTCGACTTACCATAACACATGTTTTTTTTTACTTTACGTTTTTATATTTTTCTACTTTACTTTGTTTGAATGTCATAATAGGAAATTAAAAAAAAACATGTAAGGCTAACTGGCTAAGCCCTAGGGACTACAGAATGTCATAGTAGAAAATTATTTGGGTTTATACAATCATGTAGAATTGAAAACTAATTTGTTTATTGCCTTATTTTGACTTACCTTTCATCACCATGATGCCGCCATAATCCTCTGTGTCTAAGTTCTATCTATATGTTATATCTCATCTCCCTTGTTTTTTTTCCCTCCCTTGTTTTTTTTTTTAAGAAAGTGGCGGGAGGCCTTGCATTGAAGTTAGGAAAATAGAAAGTTTTGCCTCAATGGCAGACACGCCTCAACAGGCTACAGGACAACCACAAGCTCTTGAGAGGGCCATCCCGCAAAGAAACGAAAAAACAAGATGAAAGCCCCCAAAACTAAACTAGTTTTGAAAAGCACGTTGTCGTTGATCAAAGTCCTCTTTTGTACGTAGTGCAACCGATACAGACGTGGAGCTATCATTTTGGAAAATCAGTCGATTCCTTTCGTTCCACAAATTCCACACGACGTAGATGCATAATCCATTGAAGTGTCCTCTTTTATCATTTGGTATTGTCTCTACCGCAGCTTGCCACCAATCTTTTGGTATTGTCCTCTTCTCCCTTGTCATTTTTCGTTTGGGCTCTGAATGCTGTTCCTTTGGATGGTAGAACAATAATGCCCCTTCTGCATAATTTACCAGTTATTGAAATGTAAAGTGGGATCCTGGGACTATCCAGTGGTTTAGTCACGTGCACAGTGCACTAGAGATAGCTGCTGTGAAAGCTTTATCTAAGCATATGGCTTAAGGCTAATTGCCATTACTTAACAATAGTTCCATCCTCCATGGGTACTTCTCTATTACGATGTATATATGTAAATTAAATTTCATTAGTGATCTTGACCAAGGAGATACATATAGTGATTTTTTTAAAGCGAAAACATTAGGGGAAGCCCCTGCAATTGCAAATATTTATATACGAAAACAAAAGGCAAAAAAGCAAGCAGGCTCCCTTAGAAAATAGAACTAAATATAATGATTATTATTGCCCTGATACATATAATGGTTATTGTCCTGATGAATCCATTTTATCATTGCAGTTGTTTATTAACCTCACTTGTATTACACCCATTGTCCACAAATTCAATACTGTGACATTTGAGGGTGCTGAATTTGCACAGCTCTTGGTCAGGTTTGGGCAGGTGACTCCTAATTTATAAGTTTGTGCATAATTTAAGATTAAAACTTTTGAGCAAGGGACATCCCAAAATGGCATTAAACCACTCATAATCAACTGTCAATGTAGAATTGGCACTCATAAGACTCTTATTTTTAAAGCGACAGTTCATCAGGGGAAAGGGCCTCGAGATCAGACAGAAATGGTTCTTAATGTTCTTGCTGCATCTTTTGCCTAGTCGGTGGTCATAGGGATAATTTTTCGCCAAAAGAAGACTTGCCCCTGATAGCCTTTTGGATTGCTGCTTTGATTTGATGATTTCTGAACCAGCCAGGTATCCATGTTGTCCCGCTTTCCCTGACTCAAAGTCAGCTTCAAGATAGATTGTATAGTGTCCTAACCGGTGCTAGTACACGGTTTCTTTTGGCTATTGAGTTCAGTTCTTGGAAAAACAGCTAGATTAGACAGGTGTTGCCATTATCAGTAATGTCATATGAATGATGTATTTGATCATATATATATATATTATTTTGCAAATATAATGTGTGGGAAAGAATAGCCAGCAATGCAAGGCTAAGGCCAAGGGACTACAGAGTACAGTTCCTATGGCATTTACCGAAACAACAGAAGGAGGTAATTCGTTCCTCTTATTCATCGATCCATCGACTCGAGACTGTAAAGAAGAGAAGAGGAAAGCTTTACCACCCAATGGAAAAAGAGAAATTGGCATCTCCAAAACCAAGCAAAACCCTTGATAAACCTCCTCTCCAGATCAGTGATCAGTCCCACTCCTCGTCGCTAATCATGTCGTCCTCGTCCTTGGGCGGCCGGACGATGATAACCACCTCGGCCGCCGCCACAGCTATGCCCTGCTCAGCCAGCTTCTTCCCCCTCTCCACCACAAGCCGGCCTTCCTTCTCGAAGATGTATATCCCCTGCTCCACGACCTCCTTCTTGCTCCGGTTGGCAATGACCAGCACTGGCTCCTCATCGGCCGTCCGCCACGGCAGCCTCCGGCCGTCGGCCAGCTCGATGACGACGGCGTCGTCGGCTGCCTCGGCCACGGGGCCCCACCCGGGCACCACAGCCCACCGCGCCCACGCCTTGTCTACCTCCACAATGCCAAGGTCCACGTCCGTCTTGGTCCGCCTGGGCGTTGACTCCATGGCCGCGACGCCGTCCGTCTCCCTGAGCACCGGCAGCATGAAGACGGTGGTCGCCTCGGCGACCTCGTCGTACTGGAGCCGCACCACCATGACGCCGGGCCACGAGGCGGCAGGGTCCTCCTCCTCCCCCTCCCCCTCCCCAGCCGCCTTCTTCCTGTCGCGCTCCAGCTCGAGCTCCACGCACACCCTGCCGGACTCGGTCTCCACCACCTGCAGCGCGCGCTCTAGCCCCGCGATGCGGTCCTCCACGTCGATGGCCTCCCACGACTGGCGGAACCGCGCGTAGGCGAGGCAGTCGGCGGGGGAGTCCCTCCAGAAGGCCTCCTAGCCTTCCTCCCCATGCCAGCGCGGGAAGCTCTTCATGGCGCGAGCCAGCTCCCGCACGCCCTTGGGCTCGAGCCTGTAGTCGATGGCGTGCCTGGCGGCGTTGGCGCGCTGGCGCGCGTTCAGGAAGCGGAGCTCGTATAGGAGGTTGGGCCCACCGTAGGAGTCGAAGTACGGGAGCAGATCGGGTGGGAACACGGCGACCTTGTCATTGAGGAGCGAGTCGCGGACCTGGGACGCAACGACGAGGCAGTTCTGCTCGACGCCCAAGATGCCCGTGGTCTCTTGGATGGAGGACGGGATGAAGTCGTCCAAGGAGAGCAAGGATATGAGGGGGCATGTACTCATGCCACAGGCCCATCCTATCGTGGAGGATTTGGAGGCGCTGGGTGAGGTCGAGGTTGCGGAGGCTGGGCGGCAGAGGGGACGGCGGCGGGTGGAACGGCTGGTAGAGCTGGCCCGGCGGCGCCATCGGGGGCGGCGTGAAGGGGAGCCTCCGGTCGCCCGGCCCGCCCCCGCCGCCGGTGCTGCCGCCTCCCGGAAGCAGGATGGCGCTCGCGGCGATGTGGCTGGCGCGACGGCGGCGCCACACGGGAGTAGCGGCGGCGACGGCGCGGGGCGTGCGCTGGTGGCGCGGCGCGGCGGGGTGGGGGTGGGAGAGTGACAGCATGGTGGCGATAAGGGGATCGGGGAGGGGAGGAGGAATGAGAGGGTCAGGGAAGCACGGAACGGAACCCAGGGCTTTATCCTTGTCGTAGCGTGCGCCACGGGCGCTAGCGACGCGCACTCCTGTTTTTTCCTTCCGTTTCCCTCTCCGTCAGGTACTTTCCGTTTATGGTCCCGTTTGCTGTCGCGCTCGCTTCTGAATCCAGAACCTCTCTTCCTTCTCCTTTCTCTCCGCTCAACGGGTGCTTCTCTTCTTTGATGTGGAGGCGGAAGCTCCGTCGACGCCGCCGCAGCCATGATTTGTGCGCCACCTACTGATCTTCACCGTCGATGTGGAGGCGGAGGGGGGACATATTCCAGTAGGCTGTGAGGCCCGTCGAGTCAAGTGCCCGTCGAGATTCGAAAGGAGCGAGGGGCTCCAGCGAATGGTAAGCACAACATTCAACATGTAGGAAAGGGTTTTAAAATTTAAAAGTTTTCAAATCTGATGTGCAAAGGGTTTTAAAGTATATAATTTGAAAGCTAGATATGCACAAAGTCATTAAGTATATAATTTGAAAGTTTTCAATTTCCATATATAAAAATTCAGATATGCAGCTTGATAGATATTATTGTAGCTTGTAGGAAGTTTTTCTGAATATATAATTCTGGAAGTTTCTGAATACCAGTTCCAAACTTTTTTATATGTAATCTGAAAGTAGGTATTAAGGGAGTTCTGGACTATATAATTTGTAAGGTTCTCAATTTGAGATATAAATGTTCGGCTGGTATTAAAGCCGGCTGATAAGCTAGTTAAAGTTGTTTTGTTGTGAGAGGAAAATACTGTAGATTCTAGCTGATAAGCCGGCTGATAAGTTCAAACGAAATGGCCTAAACTAGAAAGTTAGATTTGTTCAAGGTTTTTGAAATTCTTTATTCATATAACTTTTTTTAACTGGCGCGTGAAGTTGATGCACAGTTTAACATAACTTTATATTACATTTTAATTTGTTTATCTTATCTCGTTGTTTCTTCGGGGTATTAATGACAACTATAACTGAAAACAAACATATATATCTCAACATAGTGCAAGATAACTTTGAATTTCTATTTTACATACCAATTTTTCTGTATCGATTGAAACAAGTAATCACATACAGAATTTTATGGAGCATAAGACCACCAAATTTGTATGTACTGATTCTACATCCATATAGAAGGAAACCATCCTCCGTCTGTTTCAACTCCCACATACCCGTTTTCCAAAAGAGAAAAAAAGAAAAAAGCTCGTAGAATCCAAATAGTAGATTGTATGGGTTAAATCTAGACAGGAGAAACATGAAATGAAAAAAAGTAGATTGATTGGGCCGCAGGGGCTAAAGCTAGACATGAGAAGTAAGGAAAAAGTCTGCTTCGCGGCCCATATATCACATGCACGCCAACCCACCTCTACCGTGTCAGGAATATACGCGCTCCTCATCCTAATGGCACATCCTCGCCGAGTAAGAGGCACGAGCAAATATTATGTATGTATAGATATATATAGATATAAATTTAGAGAGATTGATATAAGGTTGAATCATTCATTTACCACATTTACCAATGGAATTATTTGATTTGATCGGTTTATACTATGCTATGGGATCAATCAAGATCAGGATGCATTCCACATCCACTTCCAGCAACCAGGTGGTGCCTGAGCACACGCAGCACGTCGAGCAGGCCGACCACGCTCACCAGCTCTTGCTCCTCCACCACCCACACGTGCGTCGCTCGGTGCACCATGGCCTGCACCATCACCGCCACCAGCGAGCTTCCCCTGTGGCACACGGTTGCCTCCTCTGCCCGTCGCCTCCCCAAGAACGAGCTGCCGTGCCTGTGCGGCGATGCTATAATCAGCTTCCTCCCGTTGGCGTCGACGATGTCCTCGTCCTCGTCGGACGACGAGGAGGATGACGACGAAGCAGAGGAGGAAGACGACGACGACGACGACGCGTCGGTGGTACCACCATAGAGCAAGTCGAGCATTCCGAGGAGGTTGCGGCGACGGAGGCGGGAACGGACGGCGTGGAGGGTGGCCGCGGGCGGGGCGCCGCCCCAGTCCAAGAACGACACGAGCTGGCCAGCCGAGAGCGCCGCGATGGCCGCCACGGACGCGACGCCGCCGGAGCGGAGCGCGGACGGTGAAATCTCGCCGACGAGGCGGCGGGCGGGGGAGCCGGTGCCGGTGCCGGCGACGACTGCTACCGAGGCGTGGGACGCCAGCGCGGCGCGGAGCAGCGGGACGGCGGAGAGCGCGCTGTCCCCGGCGGCGACGGCGAGCGCGGCGGGGCGGACGGCGCCGAGCTCGGTGACGGACCGCGAGGCCGTGGCGGAGAAGACGCCGACGGAGCTCAGGAGGAAAAGCACCACGTCCTCCACCGTGAGCCAGCACAGCTTGCCGCGGTCGGCGGCGGCGTGCCACCTCTCCCTGATAGGCACGGCGAGCGTGTGCGCGCCGCCCAGGAACGCGTCCACCGCCTCCAGCACGCTGCCGACACCAAACGACCGACCCCATCGTCAGATCACCAAAACACTCGATTCGGTCCGGAAAATTTATTTGATGCACACGTGCAAGTGCGACAGGCGACCTCGCGTCCGGGTCGATGCGTCGGACCGCCTGTAGCGCGCCGGCGGCGAGCAGGTCGGAGAGCGTGGCCTGGAGCGCGGCGGCCGGGGACGCCAGGTTATCGTCGTCAGCGCAGAGGAAGAGCAACGCGTCGGCCATGCACACCCTGCCGGCCACGTCGGACCCCTTGCTACCGTCCCACACCGCGACGGCCGCGTCGTCACGGCCCCCTCCGGCCTCTAGGTCGGCGATCGTGGACTGCGGCGGCAGCCACCTCAGCGCCGGCTTGCCGATGCAGAGGTCGGACACCTGGTGCGCCTGGAGCAGCCGCTCCGCCATGTGTGCGCGTGCATGCACCGGCGGTGCGGTGCACGACGTACAGTGAGCCAGGACTGGGAGCGGGCGGTGTGTGATGGGAAAAGGGAGAAGCTGGCGTTGCTCGATGAGCGGCGGTGGATGGTGGTGACTGGTGCGAGGTACGGTGGCGAGCTGCAGCTCAGAGAAGAACAATGCAGGCGCGGGTTAAATATGCAGGAGGTGTTTGTTGTGTGTGCTTGCCGTGGCAGTCTGGCAGTGGGTTGTGGAATGTGGCCGTGGCCGGTGAGGACACAGGACAGCGATGGAAGGGGAGACGTGGCAAGGCAGTGATGAAAACCTGAAAAAGAAACTTTGTGCCCGTTATTTTCCTTTCTCTGCTGCTTTTAGTTACTCCGGTTTATAAAAAAAAAATTGATGACTGGTTTTCTAATGGTTATATCCTGCTGGTTTTATTATAGGAGTATTTATTTCATCGTGAAATGCAACACGCCAACACGTACTCCCTGCTGAACAAGTGACTAACTGTGTCGGACGTTAAAGTTGCTCGATCGTCCGGGGCTTCGGGCCATACATGCCACTTTGCTGAATAACCATCAGACGTTAAAGGCCACGTTTAGTTGGTCACCAAGTTGGCGCTGACTGATTTCGCGAAGCACTATAGCTATAGTACTTATTCGTTTTTATTTGGTAATAATTGTCCAAACATTGACTAATTAGGCTCAAAACGTTCGTCTCGTAAAGTACAACCAAACTGTGCAATTAGTTTTTTATTTCGTCAACATTTAGTACTCCATGCATATACCACAAGTTTGATGTGATGGGGAATCTTCTTTTTGCATAGTGTCAAAGTTGGTATTTTGGATGAACTAAACAGGGCCAAAGTTGGTGAACAAGCCAAACGGTACCACTACCGTACAGCTCCTTCTGGTTTCTTGCCACGGGAGAGAAGGGCAATGAAGGGCTAGCTGCGCCGCCCGGATGCGGTGCGCGCGGACGGTTGGAATCAACTGCAGGAGGACGCACACATGCCGCAACCGCATGCCCGGCAGGTTATTACATACTCGAATATGATATGATGACCAATTGACCACAACATGTAGATAAGGCATCCCATAAACAAATGTTTAACTCCGTCGTCGTTATATATTATTGCTACCTTTAACTAGTGCCTAATTACCGCTACAACTATGTAGTGTTTGCTAGAAGCAGCATTATTAGGCCCACAGACCACGGTGTGATATCGATACTCTGAAAAAGACCATCACTAATCAGGGCCCAGGGGCGCGAGGTCGACCAGTCGAGTGGTAGCTTCTCATTCTCTGTCCTTTATTTGTGCTGACTAAAGAGAGCACATGAATAATCTTGTCAAATGAGCCACTTGGTAGCGTTATGATGGCTTAGAAATGCGATGCATTGCATTTCGTATAGTTATTTTATTGAAGGGTGCCTATCCATGTGGACAATCTCATATAAACCGTCAATTTTGGATCCAGTTCGTGGTTTCCGGCAGAGATTAGAATCCAAAGAATGTACCGGATGGTGGTGAACAACCAGGGCTATGGGCCTGTGTGGGCTTTCAGCACGACCACCTGACCTCAACACTGCACCCCCCGCAGAGCCCACTATGCCGCCGACTAAGCAGATTATTCCCTGGGCCGACTAGCATGTACTGGAGGCTACTATTGCCGTGGGCGTAACATCCGACGTGGCCGTCCAGAATGTCCCTGAATGAACAGATGACAAAGCTTAACGGCCCGGATCCCAAAAAAAATGAACGTCCTCTAGGCGGGGCGTGCTAGGGACCGGTCGCTCGGACCATACCGTGCGCCGGCCGGCAGCGCGCCAATAATTTCCCGCCCAGGTAGTGCGCGCGCGGGCGGACGTCATGGTTGGATGAGGTGGGCCCTACGCCATGGAGTATTATTGCGTTTGTTACACCGAACTAAAAAAAAATGTAATACCCGTTAAACCAAACATCCAAATTAAATTTCGATTACACCATATTTCTTGCAATAAATACTTTAAAACAAGATCACACAGATTTACATCGAGAATGGTTGCTTCATCCATGTTTCATTGCGCTATATATTTTCAAAAAGAACGACAACGAGACACGTCATCCATTACTAAAAGAAACAACCTCGTTAATTTAGCACGATTTTCCAAATCCTAATTAATCCCGGTTAGACATAAGTAGGTAGAGTACACGGCACGCCCGTTGCATGCCATGCTAGCTAGCTATCGCTAAGTTCTCATCGCGCAAGAAATGTTGATCAGACTAGAGAACTGTTTTGAGCATTATATATACATATTATATTATATTATATTATATATAAAGGGAAAAAGAGTGTAATGAATCAGATGGATGAACGAAAGAGACGGGTGGGGTGATCCGCCGTCCGCGCATCCAAGCTGTTCATCCGTGTCTGGACTGGAGCGCTCTCGCGAAGACGTACGCGAGGAACAGGCCCGTTCGTAACTACCGCCAACGCGTGACGGCAGCGCCGCACCCACCCGTTCCGTCACCGCCTAGCCGTTCCGTTCGGTGCGCCTGGTCTATGTGCCAGTGTGCCACACAGGCCCCAGGGACAGAACACTGACTCCTCGTTGGATTATTATTAGCACCGACATTTATTACTACTAGTGTTTATTGCCACTCTGTCTCCCGGTTTCCTTGTCGGAAAGAACCAGTGCTCGCCCGTCGCCGCCTTTTCAACTTCATCCAGCCGCCGTGCACGCTCTCTCCAACGTCCCCACCGCTGTCCGTCTCCCTCTTCCACCGCCGGGGCCCGGCCGGCGACCGACGGCGACCTCCGGGGTCGTCGGCGCATAGACGGGTCCTACGTGACGTGAGCGCCGGCGCCTCCACCTCCCTCCAACAGTACAGCTCCAGCCGCGGGCCCACATGTCACTCCGACTCCCAAACTCCTAGCTCTATCTCCAACCGAACCACCGAGCCACTCTCGCTGACAAGCCGCCCCGCGCTGGTCACCTGTCCCGCTTGTCAGTTCCTGACGGGTAAGCAGACGGGCCGCGGCCGCGCTGTCCCCGTCTGGGCCCCGCGGGTCAGTCGCCGCTTTCTCGCGTCGCCCCCGGACCCGGGGGACGCGTGCCCGTGCTCCTCCGTCCGCTCGGCCTCCTCTCCTCTCCCAGTCTCCCTCCACCCACGCAACGAATACAAACAGAGGGCAGGGACGGGGAGCGAGCGGGCCGGCGCAAAGGGGAAGCAGGGCCAGGGAGGCGACGCCAAGTGGTGAAGTGGAGCTGAGCCAAAAAGCGGGCGGCGGCACCGCAGGGCGTGCGTGGGGGTGGGAGTGGAGCGAGCCTTGTCGCCATCCGGCGGCTTCGCGCGCGGCTGCTCGCTACTTCTTCCATGGTGTGGCTGTGGCGATAGCTGAAGCCTGAAGCGGCGAGTGGTGGTGTGCACGAGCCAGACGGAGCAGCCCCGCCACGGCGAGACCGAGGAGGAGGAGATGGTCGTCTGCTCCATGCGCAAGTCGTTCAAGGACTCGCTCAAGGTGCTCGAGGCCGACATCCAGCACGCCAATACCCTGTGAGTACCCCCCATCCCCTCCTCCTTTTGCGGGGCTGTTTCCATCACGGCCGGTCCGATTTCACGCTCGCGGATGCCGCGCTTCGATTTTGACGCCGTCCCGCGCCGCGCTCCGCCCGATTCCGTAAGGAAATCAGGGCGAAATAAAAGTCGCCTTGGTGGGCGGATGCTATGCTACAGTGCGGTTGAGCTCTCATGTCGTGTCACGCCGCGCGCATGAGGGAGCGGTGGGTGCCGACACTCGGCTCCGCGCGTGCAGCGTGCGTGGGTGATGCCGCTGCTGCCTCACGCGTGCCCTTGTGCTCACTGCTCAAGCAACTCGACAGGGCAGCGGATTTCTCGAGGGACTACGACGGGGCCTGCCTCCAGATGCGCATGTCCTACAGCCCCGCCGCCCACTTCTTCCTCTTCCTCGTGCAGTGGATCGACTGCAGCCTCGCCGGCGCGCTTGGGCTGCTCAGGATCCTAATCTACAAGGTGGTTTCTGCTCCTCGATCAGTTCCTGTGATTTGGTGTGCTGTGGTGTCAGGATTTTATGCCGTTTTGTGCCGTGCTTTCGCTGTTGTGCTCAAGGAAACTTTGTTGCGCAGGTTTATGTGGATGGGAGTACCACCATGTCCACGCATGAGAGGAAAGCAAGCATCAGGGAATTTTATGGCAAGTGTTCTGCAACAACAACAACTGTGGAAAAAAAAGAGCATATGTTTGCTTGTCTGTAATTGGGTCTTGTGATATTGATGCGCATTGTTGCTTGTTGCAGCTGTTATATTTCCCTCCCTTATGCAACTGCCCAAGGGTATTAGCGACGTCGATGACTGGAGGCAGAAGGCGGTGTGTACGGAGAAGTACCGGAGGAGAGACGAAGACGAGGGCAAGAGGCCGGTTTCCGAGATCGACATCGAAAGGGAGGAAGAGTGTGGCATTTGCATGGAGATGAATAGCAAGGTGGTGCTACCCAGCTGCAGCCATGCTATGTGCATGAAGTGCTACCGTCAATGGTGAGAACTGAGCATATTTATATTTACATGAACAGACTAAACAAGTTACTGTATATTCGCGTTGGATTGAATGTTCCTGCTAATAGTATAGTCTTTAGAACCAGTGATCAGATAAGGCCCGAGTCAGCCAATTATTGAGTAGTTTCATTGTCTGATCTCTAAGGCAGCTCTCATCGCTGTATGATATGAAATACGAATACAACCAAATGCTGAACTATCTGCTGCAGAGATATACTATTAGATATAGTAGCTGTATTGATTGAGCCATGTGCTATCTATCCTTGGCCTTGTTTAGTTGACGTTTTTTTTTGAGAAATGGTACTGTAGCACTTTCGTTGTTATTTGGTAATTAGTGTCCAATCATAGTCTAATTAGGCTTAAAAGATTCGTCTCGTGAATTTCGTCTAAACTGTGTAATTAGTTTTATTTTTTATTTATATTTAATGCTTCATGCATGCGTCCAAAGATTCGATGTGACGGAAAATCTTGAAAAATTTTGCAAAATTTTGGGAACCTTGTTTTTGCAGGCGATCAAGATCTCAATCCTGTCCCTTTTGTCGGGACAGCCTCAAAAGAGTAAACTCCGGCGACCTGTGGATGTTCACCGACTGCCGGGACGTAGTTGACATGGCGACAGTGACCAGAGAGAACATCAGGCGCCTGTTTATGTACATCGAGAAGCTGCCTCTCGTTACGCCTGATAACATCTTCTACGCCTATGATTCTCATGTAAAATAGCTCGAGCTGTTGTAGCACACGATGACTTGCTCACCATTGTTTTCTGAGAGTGATGACGCATGGCTTATTGATTCATGCAGAGGATGTTCCTCGTCCTAGGATGTGGCTAAAAGCTTGGAGCAGGGTGTGGACTCTGACAAGAGACATCGAGTCTAATCTAACTGGGTGTATAGTCTGTTCAGGTTTCTGTAAATGTTTGTACATATTTATGGCGCAATGGAAAATCTTTAGGGAAAACCAATTGTGTTCTGAAGTATGCAGGCTCTAATTGTGACACACTTTGGTGCATGTATCGGTTTCAATTTGAATTGAATGCTTTGTAGTTTAAGTTGGATATTTTTGTGTATCGAACTGTTTGCTTTTATTCCTTGCTTCCTGTCGGTGCAATGCAAAGCTATGAATTATGATGCTGATCTTTTCTGGTTGGAATGCTTAACCCCAGTGACAGGATGCCTACCGTTCTGCCTAATGCAAGTGCATATATGAATGGACCCAACGGTATTGGTTGAGACATCATCTGCTACTATACATCACTGGTCCTGCACCAACTAGGAGTGCTGCATGGAGCATCTCCTTGAAGTAATTCGTGGTACAGTACAGAAACACAACACTAGAGAACAGCTTATTATTGACACTCTGACCGTGCTGCCCGATATTTATGGAGCAAGCATCGCGGCTGGTGAGAGCAACCGGTGGCTATAAATTAACAGGCGCACCGTACTTGCCGTACCATCACAACCAAACAAGGCCTTGTTTAGATACCCTCAAAATTCCAAGTTTTTTCACTCTCTCTCCATCACATCAATTTTTAGCCGTTTGCATGAAGCATTAAATGTAGGTAAAAAAAAATAACTAATTGCACAGTTTAGTTGGAAATCACGAGATGAATCTTTTGACCTTAGTTGGTCCACGATTGGACAATATTTACCAAATAAAACGAAAGTGCTACTATTTATCGGATTGAATTTTTTTTCAATCTAAACAAGGCCCAAGTATGGCAATTATGCAGGCCGTAGCATTAGGTACAATAGGTACTCACACAGTCACATGTCATATTTCAGATATTCCTTCCCTCCGTTTGTGTTTACTTATCAGCAATTTTTTACTGTAGCAAATTTGACCATCTGTTTTTTCCTTCTAAAAAAATCTTAGATACTTCCATGTATATAACACTAATGAAGTATGTTCAATAAAGAATTATATATGTGAAAACTTGATGTATCTAAAAATCTTTTGCAGGAAAAACGTATAGTCAAAATTGCTACAGTAAAAATTCGGTAACAAGTAAACGAAAACGGAGGTAGTATTTCATTTTTGAGTAAAATGCACCATGCGTCCTCAAACTTTTGGCGCATTCCCATCTGGGTCCTCCAACCAAAAAGGCGACCATCTGGGTCCTTAATCAATTGCCTTCCCACACCAACAATTCAAAGCCCGCCACGCTAGCGCCAGCATTTGACGTGGCCATGCCACAGTGGCACCTGGATGCTATGGCTGTGCCACAGTGGCAGGTGGTGGGCCTGCAGCACATTTGTCGCGGTCCAGGCACGGGACGACCATCGCCGACGCACCCGCCGCGGTCACGGCGCTCCTTCGCGGGCTCTCCGTGAACCACAGTCGCGTCGTCGTCATGTACGACATCATCAATGCCCTCGCCGCCGAGGAGGGAGACGTGGTCACCGCCGAGAGCAAGGAGATAGACGGCGTCACGGAGAAACCACAGGAGAAGCCGGCGAGGAGGAGGACGTGGCCGCTGCCAACTACTGTATTTGTTTCGTTCCTTATTTGCATGTGCAGGAGTGGCTACTCCATCTCAAGGACGGGATCCATGGCATCGCGTCACTTATGGCGCCCATGGTCGGCACCTTCTTCCTGCTGCTCAACTCGAGCGACTTCTTCCTGTACCCGAGCATGGCCGTGATCCGCACGTGCACGTGCTCCATACGTCGGTGGCCGTCTCCATGATGAGCGGGCTATTCGGGACCGAGAACTTCGATGTCCTATTGCCAACCGCTTCCATGCATGCGACAAACTCAGCGTTCAAGATCGACGAAGCACCATTGCCACTACTGTTTCTGCTGCTGCTCTGCGCCGCCTCGCTCCGTTGCTCGCCGGCCTTCGGATACGCGCTGTCCGCTAGGACGCTTTGGGCTGGCGGGGTCTCCGTCGCGGCCGAGGCAGACGTGGTGGCGTCGGCGGGAAAGAACGACAACAACGATGACCTGTTGAATGGGGAGTGGACGTGGGCCGACGGCGTTGGCGGCGGCTACTCGCTCTACAGCTCTGTGGTGATCTGGCGCCGGGGACGGAGGCGCGCCCTGCAATCATGAAGTAGTTCTCGAGCGGGAGATACATCACCCCGCCGCACTTGAAGTGGAGCGACAGCTCCGGCACCGCCGCCACCACCGCGTCCGCCACGGGCGAGAACAACGCTGGGTCGAGGTACGTGAACGTGGTGCCGGAGTAGGACAACTTGGGGAGGCGGAGCTACGCGGGCACGGACGGCTTGCCGCGGCCGAAGCCCGCGGGGCCCGACGGTAGCTGGTGCACGAACATGAGGCTGCACCCGAGGACGAAGCCGGGGATGGCCCGGTGAAAGGTCCTTGTTTGGTTTTGATAATTGAGTGACAACCTAGGTGGACTAATTATGTTTATGTGAGATACACAGGTGATTAGTCCACAGGTATATGTGTGTGAGCAACATATGCCATGAAGGTGACAATGGCTTGGAGATGTTGCAAAGCTCACACATGTGATGATGAAGGAGCTTATTGCAAATGAGACATGACATTGAGTCATGTGATCAAGGTGGAGAAGATCAAGACAAGACTTGGCTTGATGGACCGGTTGCAAGCGTGAAGGGCAAGTCGGAGGCTTAGGAGTGATGGACCGCGTGGCGGTGAAGCTTAAGCAAGACTTGGCGCCGATGGTCAATGGCAACGGTGAAGAGCAAGTGAAGTCAAGATCGATGAACCAATATGATCACGTGATGATATGAAGTGGATCATATCATTGTTGATCGTGTTGGTGCATGTGTTGCATCGACGTTGGAGGAGATGGAATGGAATGCGCAAGGCAAAGGTATAACCTAGGGCATTTCATTTCACCGGTCATAGGTGTGTAGAGAAGTTTATGACCGGGTTTAGGATAGATGGCCGTACTATCAAGAGGGGCAAACTTGTTTGCATATCGGTCATCTAGTGCCACTCGAGTGATCTAACTTTACATCGTTGCTAGGATCGAGTGGCGTGGCAAGTTGAGTGGCTAATCCTTTGGAAAATGATTGTGAAAATGCTAATACACATACACATGGTGGTGTACACTTGGTGGGGTTGGCACATTTACAAAGGAGATGAAGTTGGAGTTGATGTGGATCAACTCGGTGAAGAAATGGAGGCGAAAGGAGAAACTCCACTTGCGCCCTAGACAGAAAAGACAGGGTCTCACAGAGTGGACCGGACGCTGGTCACGTAGTGACCGGACACAGGACCCCTGCGTCCGGTCAGAGCTGACGTATGGTGACGCAGGCAGAGCAGAAGCTGGAGAGTGACCGGACGCTGGTGCTACGTCCGATCGCGATCGACCGGACGCGTCCGGTCGTGAAATGTCATTTCTGGAACCTTACTGGAAACGACCGGACGCTGGGGTTGCTGTGTCCGGTCAGTTCATGCTGGAGCGTCCGGTCGACAGATGACCGTTGAGATCCAGCGAATAGCGTTTGAATGAGGGGACACGTGGCAAGTATCACGTGACCGGACGCTGAGGTCTAGCGTCCGGTCAATCGGACCGGAGCGTCCGGTCGTCCCGATTTTTGCCCAGTGAAGGGGTAACGGCTAGTTTAGCCCTTGGGGCTATAAATAGAAGTGGCCCTCGGCCATGGCGAGTGCTGAGCACCTAAGGGGACTTAGTGTCCATGCTTGTGAGTGCTTGGGAGCCCTCCATCACACATATACTTGATAGTCATCTTTCGATTGTGTGAGTGAGCGATTCTAGTGCGATTGCATCGTGAGGTTGCATCGAGTGGCACTAGGTGATCGAGTTGCAAGCCGGTGGTGCTTGTTACTCTTGGAGGTTGCCACCTCCTAGACGGCTTGGTGGTGGTCTCTGTCGGAGCCCGCAAGAAACTTGTGCGGGGCTCCGGAGAAGAGCTTTGTGAGGGGCATTGTGCTCTCCCCGCGGGAGCCGCGAAGAGCAACTTTAGTAAAGCGTGTCATTGAGCTACCCTCACTCAAGGGGTAGGTTCTTGCGGCGCCCGACGTGCGGGCTTAGCGGGTGATGCTAATTAGCCGCCGAACCACCAAGTGAGCGGTCGACACAACGGGGATTAGCGTGTTGGCAAACACATGAACCTCAGGAGAAAAATCATCGTGTCAACGTTGTTCTTCCCGTTACACAAGCTTGCATTTACTTTCATATATATTAAGCTTGTGTAGTTGCTCTTGTAATTAGATAGCTTGTGTAGCTTGCTAATTACCTTCTTGCTTGTGTAGCATAGAAGTAGCTCCCTTGCGTGGCTAATTTGATTTTAGTAACATTGTTAGTTACATTGCTTAGTTTGTGTAGCTAAGTACTTGCGCTCTCTAATTAGGCATTGGTTGCCTTGTTATTGAGCATTGCTAGTGAGCATAGTTAACTTTGTGCTTTTGCTTACTAGCATGTGTAGGAGCTCTCTTGTTGCTTAAAATACTAGTGGCATAGGTTTGTGTAACCTTGCTCTTAGAAATGTTTAGGAGAGCTCTAGCTAGCCCGGCACCTTTGTTGCATAATTGGTATCTTAGCAAGGTGCTAGTGAACATATATAGAGGGGTGTAGTCTTGGTTAGACCGATTGTTTTAATTCCGCATTTGTATCGGTTAGCCGACGCGATTAATTTTAAAAAAGACTATTCACCCCCCCTCTAGTCCGCCATCTCGACCCTTTCACCCGGCCTGGGCATTATGTCTGGCGCCAGCGCCAGCGCCACCGAGAGCGCGAGGCCGGCGTCGCGGCCGTGGTGCTGGTTCGGGAGCCACGGAGATGGACGACGCCCGGGGCTTGGTTGCGACGTGGAGGGCCGCCGTGGCGAGGAACACGAACGCCAGGAGGAGGAGGATGAGACGCCCCGCTGTAGGCCCACCACCTGCCGCTGTGGCGTGGCCATAACATCCAAGTGCCACCGTGGCATGGCCACATCAGATACTGGTGTTGACGTTGCGAGTTTTGGACGGTTGGTGTGCGACGGCAGTAGATTAGGGACCTAGGTGATCGCTTTTTTAGTTCAAGGATCCAGATGGGAACGCCTCAAAAGTTTGAAGACTCGACGTGCATTTTACTCTTCATTTTTCATCCTCCAGCATTGACAGGTGATGCAAATAGGAAATCTGACAGCAGACAAGCATATTAGTTACTGTAGCACCACATTGTTGAATCACAGACTAATTAGGTTTAATAGATTTGTCTCGCAAATTAGTCTCAAACTGTGCAATTAGTTTTGTAATTAGTCTATATTTAATATTCTAAATTAGTGTCTAAACATCCGATGTGATAGGGGACTAAAGTTCCGTTTAGCAACCAGTTTGGGGGAGCTTCTCAGCCTTGCACTGCAGCATAAGGTCGAAAACGGACAAAAAAATCCCGTTCCGGCCCGTTCCGTTTTCTACTTTCTTCCGTCCGTTTTTGTATTTGTGGGATCCTGTTTTCATATTTACGGAAACAAGAAAGGGGTTTTTCCGTCCGTTTCCGCAAGATCCCGTTTTTACGTATTTATTTTATTTTTCATCCTGTTTTCAATCTATATGAGATATGTCTAGAAATTGATATGTTCATAAACCTACTAATCACAAATTATGCATGTTAACATGTTAATACATGGTATACTAGTGAATATTGAACCGATAATTTCGTATGTGTATATTATTTTGTGACTTTATTTATGTATACTCAAGAATATTTGATCATGTTATTCTAACTTACTTTTTCGGCTCTCCATCCGTATTTGTATGTTTCCGTATTTCCGTATATCCTCACTCGTTTTTAATTTCGTTTTTTTCCCGAACCCGATCCCGTTTTCGCTAAAAATATAGAAACGAAGATGGGAGAGGAGTTTTTCCGTCCGTTTTCGTCCGTTTTCATCCCTGCAGCAGCAGCAGCAACAGCGTGGATTGACGATCCATGGCCCTCCAGGTGAAATCTAACGTCCCCATCCACGATCCAGAGACTAAAGTTTATGAGATGTCACATAAGATGTCACATCGGGTGTTTGATACTAATCATAAAACTAATTATAGAAGTCGTGACTAATTCGCGAGACGAATCTATTAAACCTAATTAATCTATCATTAGCACATGTTTACTATAGCACCACATTGTTAAATCATGGACTAACTAGACTTAATAGATTCGTCTCGTAAATTAGTCTTAATCTATGCAATTAGTTTTATAATTAGTCTATGTTTAATACTCCAAATTAGTGTCCAAATATTTGATGTGACAGGGACTAAATTTTAGGAGAGGAAATCAAACACCTGGTTGTGTCTGGATCCAAGGGCTAAAGTTTAGTCGTGTCACATCGGACATTCGGATGCTAACTAGGAGGATTAAACATGAGCTGACTATAAAACTAATTGCATAGGAGTAGACTAATTAGCGAGCCGAATCTATTAAGCCTAATTAATTCATAACTAGTAAATATGTACTGTAGCACCACATTGTCAATTCATGTACTAATTAGACTTAGGGAGTGTTTGGTTCTAGTTCCTAAACTTTCGCTGTCTCATCGTATGACACATGGAGTATTAAATATAGATTAATTATGAAACTAAATACACAGATTAAGATTAATTTGCGAGACGAATTTTTAAGCCTAATTAATCCATGATGTGACAATGTTTGCTACAGTAACATATGATAATGACGGATTAATTAGACTTAATAAATTCGTCTCGCGGATTACTGACGGATTCTGTAATTTATTTTTTCATTAGTATCCGTACACCCTATACGACACCCCATGTGACATCTGATGAGACACCTCTTAAACTTTAATCCCTACATCCAAACACCCCGTTAATAGATTCGTCTCTATGTAATTAATTTTATAATTAGTCTATGTTTAATATTCCTATTTGGTATCATAGATTCGATATGACAAAGCTAAACTTTTGCCAAAGGAAATAAAGTAGACATTCAGAACTAAGGATTATTCTATCGCTTCTGCTAATCATCTCTCCTCAAGAAGAAAAAAAAGGTTATAATCTTATCATCCTTCCGAAACCCTAGGAGCAAAACTCTTTCCTGAAGGGTCTGTTGTATGAGATCATTATAAGATCTTAGTTGTTGACCTGAAATAAAAGGTCGCAAGGCTTTATTAATGGTGAGCACATTTAGAATGTAATAAGCTGCAAACGGAAGTCCCTGTTGGGAAACATCTTACCTTGTCTAAAATCCGCAATTTCCATGAATCACTCCTACGAGATGTATTAGGTTCAGCATAGTCTGAACCATGTTGGGCTTGATTTCTCAAGAGAGGCAGCCTCGCAGGCACAGTTGTGTCATCATCACTGTCATAGTCAGTCTCACGGTCAGGCCCAAGGGTCCTGAGAACCATCCCCAGAATGATTGATAACACCTGAAAAACTAAATATGTTAATAGAGGGTCACTCATGCTCAAAAGTCTAGTTTTTTCTTCAGAAAGTACAATTTTGATGATGCAGCTACTCAAATTAAACAGAAACATGTCAAGCAAAATTTGAATCCCCCCAAAACAGGATGCCAGCACCTGATTTCATTTAGAAAAATGATTATTAACAATTTTAAACAAATGAGGTATAATCATTGCACCGGTCATGTTTGGTTGTTTCTCAAACATTCTTAAGAAAGCATATGCTAGTGGCGATTTGTTTCTAAGCATTCTTCAAAGGCAGAATGTTCAAACCCCACCACACTAAGTTGCACATACTAGTGTCAAGTGTCTTCTAACTCCATTCACAAGAACTTGTACAACATTTACTAGTCATATGCAAGGTAGAATTCTACAATAATGAACAATTGCCTTTTACTGCAGTGGAGATACAGCAGAATCTAACCTGAGCAGCCACCACTGAGAGGCCTACCCATTCACATATCTCAAAATTTGATCTCACAAAGTCCTTGAAATCCTCAAACTTGCCTGATGGGTCAGCGGGGAAATCCTGAAGGTTTTGAGAATTATCAAATACTCTGTCAGGACATAAAATAGCAGATATAAGGAAAAATCATAAAGTATCAAAGTTCATAGCTAAGCTCCTTACCTCTTCCCAGTTGCTATTCAGAAATACATCCATAGTGATTGCACCTTCCATTATAATAAGCACAAATACGATGGCCATGTACTACGTGTGGGGTTAAGGAAAAAGAGACCCAATATCACAGTGAGGTCGCACTGCACTAAACATTATAGAACTCGAAAGAATGTAACTGCAATTTGAGGCCTGCACTCTCACTCTCAATTTAGTTCTTTTTGGCATCTTATGTCCATATAATTATATAGCCCAGGAAAAAAAGTGTAGTGTCTGCACCTAACCGGAAACCTTGGATAAACCAGCAAGAGCTTTTAACCACTGATTCACTATGGGTAGTCAACAAGCAAAACCCAAGTGATGGCAGCTGGTATGGTATATCAGATAACATGTAACTCCATGTATCTAGCAATTCAACATAGGTAATCAGCAAGTAAATACAAGCAATGGAGGCTGATATATGAAACAACATCGAACTCCATGTACCTACCGACTAAAAGGATACACAAGAGAGGCAGTGACCATTTGCAGATTCAGCAGCAATATGCCCAGAGCAAGTCAGCAGGCACAGAAAGATCCCTAGGCCAAGAAATGTGTAGATGAACCTGCATGACCGGTATTTTTTTCTCATTAAAACAACCAGTTCCACAGTATATACTCTGAAATGCATAATTTTTCAACATGGTGCTAAAAAATCAGATTTAACTACTTATTCTTAAAGTATTGGTTCCAAGCCGCACTAACATTTTAGATTCGTAATGGCAGCAAAAGCATGGGCGCTTGGCTCATTTGATTAATACTACAGTTGTTAGGATGAGGAAAGCCATTTGATTAATATTAATACTACAGTTGTTAGGATGAGGAAAGCGACGGCTAAACATGCTCACTATTTGGTTGTTTAACATCAGCATCGTCATTCTTTGTATATTCTTCATCAGTGCTCTTGTCCCACCGATCAACTAACTGCGGATCTACTTTTGAGTTAGGCCGTCCATTGCATCACATCATGCGTCCCGATCTGACGCCACATTGCAGGTTGCAGCCGCCACCAAAAATCTCCTCTAAAGCACAAGTCCAAAACAGCAACACGGAAGCCGATCACCGAGCCACCATGCCCACGGAATAGCACTAGCGTCCACTAGAAGGATAGGACAGTGGTTTCTTCCTTGTCATGCGTCACTAACTGTAGCCAAATCTGCCGCGATAGTGGCATGATGAGACGAGGCCGTGCCCATCACCCCATCCGAAACGAGTAGCCTTTAACTGCCACGGGAGAATTAAAAAGCGCTTTCGGCGGTGGCTGGGTAGCTTCGTGTTGTACGCCAGCGCTTCTAATCTCGCATTCCTGCACGGCATCGTCGATTGGTCGCGGAACTACGTCTAATTCTAATGAAAAAGGTCCGATGGAACAGAACGGTAAATACAGTTTGCTACGAATTCGGCCTGAAAGCAAACGCATTTCACGAAGCGAAGGACAGTTTGGGAGAAGAAATCAAGAACAGCGAAGTTGTGGGCAACAACAGCTGCAAATCTAAGACCTTGATGACTCCTAGAGCGCGCGCGCGAGCGGAGACAGAAACGGAGGCCGAGATCTGCCCACAAGCAGGAAGGAGGAGGATGAGGGGGGAGGGAGGGAGAAGCGGTTGCTGACCAGGGGACCGGGAGGCGTTGGTGGAGGTGGAGGTCGGCGACCTCCCTGTACCAGGCGCGGAGCATCCAGAGCGCGTAGAGGATGACGGCCATGCCGGCGAGCCCCACGACGGAGTTGGCCGCCTTGAGAGCCGTCTGCACGCAGCTCCGCACCATGCGCCCCGCCATGCCGATGCCGATGCCGCCGTGGCTGACCGGAGCAAGGCCTGCGCGGCTCCGACAGCCTCCCTGTCGTGGGCTCGGCTGGGTCGTCGGTCGGTCCGGCTCACTTTTTTGTTCCGCGAACGAAGCGGGCAAGCGGCGGTCGCAGGATGGAGGCAGCAGCAGCCTGCGCGTGCGGGAGAAGCGGAGACCGGGAGGGTAGCTAGAAGCTAGCGTTCTCCGCGGCCGGGTTTGGTTTGACGTGGGGTGGTGGATGAGTGGAGCCCCGCCGTGCAGACTGCAGAGAAAGAGAGGGAGAGAGAGTGGGGTGGGAAAGGATGGCGGGCGAGGCGTGACGTTGACCTTGACAAAACGCGGAGAAAATGCGGGGGTGGGGAGTTTCCGACGGCCGACGGGGACGGATGTAAATAAGCGTGGGTGCTTGGTCCGGTATATGCCCGGTCCGCCACGCTGAGCCATGACCGAACTATCGTGGCTGATTTGTCGAAAATATTATTTGTTGATTAAAAATATATATCTTATAAGCCAAATGAACATGACAATAATCGACACCTCGTCGTCACGTCCGGCACCGCATGGGTTCTACTTGTAGTCTTCTACGGTTCTGCTTGTATACTTTGTGCCGGGAGGATGGATGTCTTTGTGTTTCGTTTGCTTTGATCGTGTGTTTGATTTTTTTGAAGGCTATCGTGTGTTTGATTCCTAGACGTGGACGGAGATTCTTTCTGCCACGGCCCACGGCTTGACGTTAACATGGGCAATGATGTGTTATGATGGGTAGATGGGTAAACACCTGACGCAGTGACGCGAGTGAACAGAAATGATCGAGTCAGCACCGTCCATGCGAGATTTTCGTTCTCATCTAGTGTGCGTGTGCGCCTTTTTTTTCTCTTTGAATTACTTAAATGGCCCTTTTTACTCTTGGTGGCCTCCCTCTAAGTTTTTGAAGGAGAGGAGCGCTTAAGAGCATCCCCATCACGACACCTTGCCCCACATACCTTAACCTCCACATTATAGCATGGATCGTCCATATAAATTCGAACAGTGGTTTGGTGGTCCTCATAGCTCCCTGCAAAAGTTGCGGTTGTGTCGGATACCATAAAAAGGGGTACCCTAAGCAAGAACCGAAAAGATTGCTTAGACCTTGCCAATATCAAAGCCAAAGGATAACCACGAGGTCTCGGCTGATTCTCCGATTTGCCCGAGGCCTGTGCCGTAAAGGCCCCGGACGAAAAGGCCAACTCTCCGCCTCGCCGAGGCCCCGCCCCGTAAGGCCTCGGACAGGTTACCGATTCTCCGACTCGCTTGAGGCCGGCTCGGCAACAACCTCGTCGCCTCCGTCTCGACCGACTTCTCTGACAAAACGTCATGTCCAATTAACGCGTCCAACCACTCCCTTAGAACGTCGGCCAAGACGCCGCGTCGGCCTTCAGCAAAGAGAGTGGCCGACGGACGGGAAACAGATCGAGCGGGGGTTACTGCGTCATTGCAGCTCAAAGATCGCGCGCCCATAATCGGCGCGCCCATCTTGCATCTTTATACTACCTAATTCTCGCTCCAGAAACAGTAGCGGCGTGGGGAGTCAAATCTGGTCACTATAGCCTCGGAATCGGTGTATAGGACCAATCGCTCCCTCCAAGCCTCGGCAATCCACTTCGAGGCCTCGACAGCCTCGGATTCGCGCCCGAGAGCCCCCACGATGGCTCGGCCTCGGCACCAATCGAGCCTCGGCTCTTTACATCATCAACGCCAAATGACGGCACGCCGTCGTCGGTCATGCCCTACGCTAAGCTATCACCGGAGCTCCCACGCCGCACAAGATCGGGTGTGGCCGTAGCGTTGCTCCGGTGATAGGACAAGACCGCTCCGCTTGACCATGCCGCCACAAAGTGGTAAGCTACGGGGACTCGAGCACGCCACCTCTCGCTCACAAGACGCCGCATAACAAACACATGTATCACCCCGTCCCCCTTCAACTATAAAAGGAGAGAGATCGGGGCCGCTTTAGGGGCGGGAGAGCAGACGAACACACGCGTAGGCTCACGTAGATTCAGACACACGCTCCCCCGCTACCTGAGAGCAACGTTTCAAGCAGCCTGCACCGCTCCACGCAGAGATCTGGGACTAGCTCCCTCTCTCGCCCAACTTTTGTAACCCCTACTACAAGCATTTTGCAAGGAATACAAGATCGATCTCTCGATTTGGACATAGGGCACCGATTGCTCGAACCAAAGATAAACCTTATGTCTCTTTGCATCACCATCCGAGATTAGGGACACCATTCACTCTGACTGTTAAGGCCGTATCGGACATCGTGTGGATTATTTTCACTAGTTTGGGTGAGAGAGAAAAACACTATTCCCGACTAGAAATTTACGATCGTTTACGAGCAAGCGAACAGGCTGCTAGTCGGTTGAGGACCCCTGGTCCAAAACACCGACAGGTTGCTTCACCTGATAAGAAGGGGGAGGCAATGGTTGAGGTTGGGGGTTGGGGGGGGAGGGAGGCAAAGGCAATTGCTATCGTCTGACAAAAGTATAGCTCTGGCAAAAAAAAAAGAGGAAAGTGACAATAGCACCTTGCGTTGGGGGGTTTAGAACGCCTCAACACTTCATGTCGACATGGTGCAAAACTTTAAGGCAGAATAGCCTTTTTGATCCCGCAACTATTACTCGAGGCTCAGTTTGGTTCCTAAACTTTCAAAACGGCTGTTCTAGTCCTTAAACTCTACTTTTAGGCTCAATTTCATCCTAGAACTATAAAAATGATTGTTTTAGTCCTCAAACTTTGCATTCTGGGCTCAATTTTATTTATAACATATCAAAGTGTATTTTGTTCTTTAAACTTTTATTTTCAACTTGCCTTTGTCTACGTTCTATGCGAAACGCTGCACTGTTGCACCTGGTTAGCTCCAACACCACTAGCGATTGGAGATAGAAAACTAATATTCATCCAAAAACTCTTTCGTGGTCATTAATAATTCCAAGCTATTATTTTTAGTATTACCTTATAATGGTACCATTTACATATATCCGACTAAATGATATTTGTGAGAGCAATTACAATTGCATCGAACACTATTTATTCTTTAAGAATACATGGAAAACGATAGCAGATCTATAATTTTGATAATTTATGGATAAAATTGTGCCTAAAATATAAAGTTTTCTTTTTGAATAGACAATTGAGTTGAAAATAAAAGTTAAATGCACTTTGATAATTTATGAATGAAATTGAGCCAAAAATGCAAAATTTAAGGACTGAAACGGTCATCTTCATAGTTGTAGAATGAAATTGAGCCTAAAACTAAAGTTTAAGGACCTAAATGACCGTTTTAAAAGTTTAGGGTGAAAATTGAGCCTCGAGTAATAAGGACCAAAATGCCTATTGTGCCACGCCCTAACCCCCAAGATGTTCTCGCCCCATCCAGTTGAGTGCGTAGCATGGGAAATAGTGCCGATTAAGTTGTGTTTGTAGAGGTATGTCTTTTTACCTAGTACGAGACTGAATCTTAAAAGTCATCTGATGTAAAGTTTGATTGTCACATAGGAAACATGGCATGAATCTTAGGCAAAAGCAAGTCTCACGTGTGTATCTCATGGAGATTTCAACGCAAATGTCTAGTTCCCTAGGGATTCCAGACGAGGGAAGCCTAGGGGAGCCGTCATCAGTGGAAAAATTAAAGTAAAATAAAAATAAAAATCAGAAAATAAAAAAAATCAGTAAGTAAAAATACAAATATAAATAAAAAATAAAAGAAAAGGAAAAGGAAAAAAGAAATAGAAAAAATGAGGAAAAACGCAATACCTGGAACTGGGCTCAGCGTGGACGGCTACGCGCTCGAAGCTCCCTCACGTGGGCTTGCGCTCGAAGCTGCCTCCGCGTGAGCCGCCGCACTCTCCTCGTGGGCTGCTCGCTTCTGTAGTCGGCGGAAGGCAGGGTGCCGACCGGTCGCACCGGAAGTTTTCCGGTTTTCCCTTCCCCGTTGCCACGACGGCTCGCGCTCTCCCGTCTCCCCACTCCCCCGTCGCTCCCCTCCCCAGTCGCGACGACGCTCGCCGCCGTCCTCCCCAGCCGCGAGCGCTGCCACCGCCCTGCCCAGTCCCACCGCTGCCCTCCCCAGGCGTGAGACTGAGATTCAACACCCGCGACCGCGAGGCCTTGACTCTGGCAGGATGGCTTCGTACTAGCGGCTCGCCTCGCCTCGCTTTGCGCCGCCACCGCCCACTATCCTCCGCTCCTCTGTGCGCCGTGCTGCTGTGCCCCGTCTTCTGCTCCTCCTCCCCTGCTCCGGGACCCGGTCGCCCGCCGTGCCCCGCTCGCCGCTCTGCCCGGCCCGACGTTCTAGGGATTCAGCCGCTGTGGACATCCCTTTGCAGACTGTAGCACCTTCTCGTCTCGTCTTATTCAGTGGTGAGCACTGAACATATTTGGCATTTTAACTAGGCAGTGGGCATGCTATTTGCTCTAACGTTGCTATTTTGTCGATTTCTTAAATAGAGCAGTACTGAGCATATTCGGTGGAGAGTTAAATTCATTGCAATGTCATGCCAGTTTCTAGTTCACTTCATATTGGGCTTAATGTCGTGTCAGCTTACCTACACACTGCAATAGTTGTCACATAGTAGAGGCATGAAGCACGTAAATGATCGTTTTATCTTAGAACTATTTACACCGTGTTCTGTAACTTATTTTGTTGAATTTAAGATACCAACGGGACCTTTTAAATGTGTATCTTGCTTTTGACAGTCGCATGTCTGTATGCCGAATTTCTTACAAGTATCGTATACGTATTACCGAATTGTGAATTTAGATTATACTCAACTGCATACAGTAAATTTTGCTAGGACTACCCTGGGTCAAAATCCTGGTTCTGTCTCTGGTGTGAGCAGCGCCTCCCTTTTTTTGGGCACTTCATCAGCGACGACCATCCTCCTGGTACACCCTTCCCTACCCGCTGTGCAAAGCATCCCCACCCTAATTTCTTTTGCAAAAAAAGTTATTGGTTGTATGCAATTTCGAAGTAGTCAATTTTGAAGTAACGAAGATTTGGAACCCAGCTCTCTGTTCTCCACCAGCGCTTTGAAGATGCCGCAGGTAATGGTGGTGGCACGGAACTTCATGGATATGGTGGCTGCTCTTCCTGCGGGCAAGCTCGATATGCTCTATGACTCAGCCTTTATCTGTGAGGCGGTACTCAGGTCCAGAATCCACAATTTTTTGTAGTGCATTATTAGTTCTTGCTTTCCTCATCTTGATTCAGTTAAGTTCACAGGTCACTTCCCCCACTGGCAAAGAAGTATGCACTGCAGATGTTGTATGTGCTGGCACCGGTGACCGCTGCAGCAATGGAAGAGTGGGTGCTAAATGAATATGCTGCCAAGCACAAGGTTGCCATTGATAAGCTTCTCCAACTCAGGGTCTTTGTTGAAGTGCGCGACAGGTAAGAAATCATCCATCTCCATGAAATTCTGGGTATTTATAGCTTGAAGTATCAGCAGACTGTAACTGACCTGGCGTAGATCAGCTATTAATGAATCAATTTCATCTCAGTAGTGTTAACTTTTTTATGCATTCATGGGAGCTTAGTTTTTAACAGTTACCAATGCTAAAATTTTACCAAAATTGTTTTGCCCTATGGCAATCAGTAATGCATTTGTTGTTCAGAGCAAGCAATAATTTGCATTTCAGCTGTTATGGCTAGTGGGCTGGGACTGGCCAGGACTATTAGTTCCGCAGCACAGCAGATTAGGATTAGCTTGTTCAAGTATGTTAGCAGATAAGATTAGTTACTTGCATGGATAAGATTTGTTACTTGTTAGTAGGTTGTTAGGCATGCAAGTAACAAATAGTAACTAATCTTATCTGCTAACAAACTTGAATGAAATAATCCTAATCTGCTGTGCTGCGGAACTAATAGCTCTGGCCAGTGCCAGTCCACTAGCCTTAACATCAGCTGTGCATGTTTGACACCATGTGTGGTTGTAGCAAGCTATTAGGTTTTGACACCTCCTTTATTTATTTAGTCAGCCAACCTTTTACATGTTCATGATGAAATAACTGTCAGTAGTTAGCCTAGTGTTCATGTTTTCCAGCATTTACATTTCAGTCCTAATGTGGTTGGTAGGGCTTGCCTTGGTGGTGAAGTTGATAAACACCTTGGCAGCCAAGTTTCCTAAAGCATCTACCATTAGGTAGTTAGAATATTCCCTGGGATAAACCCCTGGCCTATAAGAGCACATGGGGGTGTGGGGGGGGGGAACAACTTGTACAATTCAACTGTCTTGTATTTTGCAATTCAATAGAAGGCCACAGGCCAAGTTATCCTCCCAATTACTTATGATCTGGTGATCTATGCCAACAATTGGTATCAGAGCTCGGGGTTGAGAGAAAGGGAGAGGCATGGCCACCTCCAGAGAGAGAGGCAAGCCCTTGCCGCCGCCGCCGCCAGCGTCAGCAGTATCGTCAGTCACAGCAGAGGCCGCAGCAGCAGAAGAAGAGCTTCGAACGCTGCCGCCACGCACCGCCATGCTTTGCGTCGAGAGTTGGTGGAGGAGGATCCGCCGCGCGATCGCCGCCTGCTTCCGCATAGGAGCCCGGAGCGCGAGCGCAGGCAGACGCGGTCGCCCAATCGGGATTAGGATCGCCGCCGCGGACGGGCCAGGGGCCGCTCGCCGGTGATCCAGACCGTATACAAGGATTCTGGCTCAAGCTCCACCTGGCCGATGCTCACCAAGTCAAATTACCATGAGTGGGCCTCGATCATGAAGCTGAAGCTCCAGGCGCGGCAACTCTGGGACGCGATCGAGTACCGTGACTCGCCGTACCATGAGGACAAAGCGCCGCGGTGGAGGCGATCATCGCCGCCGTGCCGCAGAGAGATGCAGATGCCATTGTCCGAGAAGGATCGGCCAAGGAGGCTCGACTCCATCGCCGCCCGCTGGATCGGCGTCGATCGGGTGCGCGCGCCGCACCACGCCCAGCGACTCGCGCGATCCGGGAGAAGCTTCGCCTTCCGTCCGGGTGAGCGGTCGAGGACTTCACTCTTCGCTGATGGCCTCGGCGGCGGCTCCTTCTCCACGCGCGACAACGACATCGATGAAGAGCGCGCGGTGGAGAGGTTCTGCGCAGCCGTCAGCCGGCACGCCCAGCTCCGGATCGCCATCGAGACGCTTCTCGACTTCCAGGACCTCACCATCGAGGAGGTGTCTGGGCATTTGAAGACGGTGGACGACATGGAGGCGCTGGTCGCGGAACCGGCCGCCATCGGCGGTCTGCTGCTGACAAGGGAGCAGTGGCGTGCCAAGGAGAAGGAGGAGGCTGCCGCTTCGCGTCGAGTAAGGAACCGCGACGTCGCCCACGCGGCGGCAAGCAAGCGGCCTGCGCGAAGGGCAATCGCGGCGGAGGAGACAGAGGTGGTGGCGATCGTCGTGGGGCGACGACGACGACACCGCCTCAATCGTGGTGATCGCGCCACCGGGCGCGCGATCGCCGCCACCAAGCTGGTGGTGGTGGTGACCGCGGCGGCGGCGGTGGCAACCAAGGCGGAGGAGGCAACCGCGTTGGAGGTGATCGTGGTGGTGGTGACCGCGGGGGAGGCAACCGCGTTGGAGGTGATCGAGGTGGACGGCGCGGTGGTGGGCGTGGCGGTGTTGCGCACGTCGCAGAGGCGGAGGACGATGATGGTGCTCTGTTCCTCGCCCACGGCTTCCTCAAGCTCGACGAGAAGGCCGAAGCCGTCTGCTCCAAGGCCACGGCTTCTCTCGACATCAACGAGCCGCGCGCGCGTGTCTTCCTCAACACCAGCGCCAACGAGGAGGCGCTCGACAGCTGGTACCTCGACAGCGGGGCCACGCATCACATGACCGGCCGCCGGGAGCTCTTCGCCAAGCTCGACACCACGGCGCGCGGCACGGTGCGTTCGGCGACTTCGTCTCGAGTGGAGATCAAGGGGACCGGCTCCATCGCCTTCGAGCCAAGAACGGGAGCAAGCTGGCGCGTCCACCATGGCGTCTTCTACATCCCAGCCTCCCGGGAACTCGATTATGAGTTTGGGGCATTTCGACGAAGAGGCTCGGGTGGAAATTGATCATGGAGTGCTCCGTGATCTCGGGGACGGGCGTGGTCGTCTTCTCACCAAGGTACATCAGCAGCCCGGTCGGATGTACATCTTGCACTTGGAGGCCACAAGAACCGGTGTGTCTTCTTGCCGCCAGAAGGAGGACGAAGTCGTGGAGGTGGCATGAGCGCTTCGGGCATCTCGGCCGAGGCATTGCACAGCTTCGGCAAGCGTGAGATGGTGAGGGATCTGCCGTGATCAAGCATGCGGAGCAAGTCTGCGACACCTGCGTCACCACCAAGCTCCGCCGCAAGCCGTTTCCGCAGCAGGCGTAGTACCGCGCGTAGGCGTCCCTGGACCTCGTCCATGGCGACTTGTGTGGGCCGGTGACGCCGCGAGGCGCCGGCGCCGCCACTTCTTCTGCCGATGGTGGACGACGCCACCCGCTTCATGTGGGCGGTGCTTCGCCAACCAAGGATGTTCTTTGCGATGCCGTGAAGCGGGTGAAGGCGAAGGGCAGAAGAAGAGACCGGCCGTGAGCTCAAGGTCTTTGCGGACCGACAATGAAGGAGAGTTCACCGTCGGCGAGCTGGCGCAGTACTTTGCCGCCGAAGGAGTCAAGCGGCACTACTCTGCACCACACGCACCGCAGCAGAACGGTGTGGTGGAGCGGCGCAATCAGACGGTCGTGGCGACCGCACGCGCTCTCCTGAAGCAGAGGTCCATGCCGGCCAAATTCTGGGGGGAGGCGGTGATGACGGCGGTGCATCTGCTCAGCCGCGCGCCGACAAGAAGCTTGCAAGGCAGGACCCCCTATGAGGCTCGGCACGCACGACGAAGCGCCGGTGAGCTATCTCACAGACATTCGGTCGCTGCGTCGCCTACACAAGGGAGCTCGGGCAGCTGCGCAAGCTCGACGACCGCGGCAAGGCTGGGGTCTTCATCGGCCACGCCGAGGGCGCCAAGGCCTACCGGGTCCTCGATCCGGCGACAGGACGCGTCAAGGTGAGCCGCGACAGGGTGTTTGATGAAGGGCGCGGCTGGGATTGGTCCAATTCGGCCGCCGGGACGTTTGCTTCCGCCTCCAGCGACTTCGACATCGAGTTCTGGGGAGTCGACGCAGACAGAGCTCCGCCGCGCACGCCGTCACCAGCTCCAGGGGAGCACGATCCACCGGCCTCCTCTGCTTCACCAACAGCGGAGACCGAGCAGGCGGACCCAGTTGAGTTCGCGTCACCGCTCGAGGACGACGACGATCGCCTTGACGCTTTCTACGACGGCGAGCAGCTGCGGTACCGTACCATGCCCAACATCATCGGGGACGCGCCCACACCGCCGTCGGCTTCACGTCTCTTCGCCGAGCTTCACCTCACGCACGCCGGCGAGCCGGCCAACTTCGCGGAGGCTGAAGGCGATCCTGCCTGGCAGGCTGCCATGGAGCAGGAGATCAAGGCGGTTGAGCAGAACCGCACGTGGGAGCTTGTGGAGCTTCCTCCCGGTCACCGGCCCATCACCCTGAAGTGGGTCTACAAGCTCAAGAAGGACGAGCGGGGCGCGGTGACCAAGTACAAGGCGCGCTTGGTGGCACGGGGTTTCGTCCAGCAGGAAGGGATCGACTTTGACGACGCGTTTGCTCCCGTGGCGCGCATGGAATCCGTCCGAGTCCTCCTCGCGCTGGCGGGCCCAAGAAGGATGGCGTGTCCACCACATGGACGTTAAATCGGCCTTCCTCAACGGCGACCTCAAGGAGGAGGTGTACGTGAAGCAGCCGCCTGGCTTCACCGTCGCCGGGAAGAAGTTGGTGTACCGTCTGCGCAAGGCTTTGTATGGCCTACGGCAGGCTCCGCGAGCTTGGAACGCCAAGCTAGACGCCACCCTCAAGGAGATGGGTTTCCAGCAAAGCGACCATGAAGCCGCGATGTACAGGCGAGGAACAGGGGAGGAGCTGCTGCTGATCGGCGTCTATGTTGACGACTTGATCATCACCGGTGCCAGCGCTCAAGCCATAGAAGGTTTCAAGGCTCGGATGAAGAAGGTTTTCGACATGAGCGACCTCGGCCTCCCCGTCCTTCTACACGGGGTCGAAGTACACCAAGATCCAAATGGGGATCACTCGAGGCAAACCCATTATGCCAAGAGGATCCTTGAGCTAGGAGGTATGGATGCCCGCAACCCCGCCCCCATACACCAATGGAGGAGCGGGCCGAGGTTGAGCAGCAGAGCACACTGCAGGTTGATCCTACCCAATACGAAGATTGGTGGGCAGCTTGCGCTACTTGGTCCACACAAGACCGACTTAGCCTTCTCGAGAGGCTTTGTCGATCGATTCATGGAGAGGCCGATTGCAGAGCACCAAGCTGCCATCAAGCGCATCCCGAGATATGTGGTGGTACTCTCGGACTTTGGCCCGCACTACACTAAGGTTCCGGGAGAGCAAGGTTTGTTGGGTCTTCGCGACAAAGGACTTGGTCGGGGACATTGACACCAAAGAGCACTAGTGGCACCCCTGTTCTTCTCGGGAAGCAATCTTGTGTCTTTGGCAACAAGTGAAGCGTAAGGTGGTGGCTCTATCTAGTTGTGAAGTCGAGTACATTGCCACTACCACAATACCGCAACACAAGCTATTTGGCTATCCAGTCATTGGCGCACCTCCTTGGAAGGAATGTGGAAGTGGTTGAACTGAAAGTCGATAGCAAGTCCGCACTTGCTCTAGCCAAGAATCCAGTCTTTCATGAGCGCAGATAGCACATCGAAATCAAGTATCACTTCATCGAAACCGCTTGGAAGATGGAAGTATCGTATGATCACATATCCACCACTGATCAGCTGGCTGACATTCTAACCAAGTCTCTTGGAAGATCAAAATTTGAAGAGATGAGGGGAAGAATTGGGCTCAAGCAGATCACTTCCAAGGACCACAAGGCTAAAGGGGAGAATTGTCAGTAGTTAGCCTAGTGTTCATGTTTTCCAGCATTTACATTTCAGTCCTAATGTGGTTGGTAGGGCTTGCCTTGGTGGTGAAGTTGATAAACACCTTGGCAGCCAAGTTTCCTAAAGCATCTACCATTAGGTAGTTAGAATATTCCCTGGGATAAACCCCTGGCCTATAAGAGCACATGGGGGGGACCACTTGTACAATTCAACTGTCTTGTATTTTGCAATTCAATAGAAGGCCACAAGCCAAGTTATCCTCCCAATTACCTGTGATCTGGTGATCTATGCCAACAATAACCAGTAATCACAGGAAATTTGATGGCTGTGTTGCTAAATTATCATCATGAGATGGCCATGTCTTTGGAGTTTGGATGCAAAAAATTGGGTGCTGATTAGGGTTGTTGAGCAATCACACTTATAGATTTACATTTTTCTTTACTTTGGCTGAAAGAGATTGACTTGTATTTCTTGAAAAAAAATGTCTTGTGAAATATACTTCTAACATGTGAAGGTGAATGGTATGCTTGTATACATGGCACATGGCTTGGTTTGAATGCTTGTTTTTGAAATATCCATACTATTTTATTTAAGGTGGAGAAGCGAGAATTTGTAATGATTGATTAATCATAGCAATTGACTCTTTATTGTGTACTTCTTTGAGAATCCTGTAACTTATTATTAGCTTTTGCTGCTACAATGACTGACTGCTGTGCTTAGCACTGCAAGCTTGCTGGTGCATGATAAATTAATCACTTCCTAGCTCTCATGGTTTCAGCATGCATATGTAGACGACGGGACGTGAGCTACAAGATGAATCAGAAGTTCCAGGGAAACATGCAGAAGTATTTGGTTGATGGGTATGATTTTCTCAACCGCCTACCCCAACTTGCTTGGGACTAAAGGCTTTGTTGTTGTTGTTGTTGTTGTTCTATGATTTTCTCAACTACTCTTTTCTTTGTTTCAAAATCACATGGGCCATCCTTTCTCAAACTTGGAGCTGCTATGACGGCATCAGCAACACAGCATCACTGATGTGCTCCCCAGTCTCTATGTTATGTATATACCAAGTGCGGAATGATTATTCTGCCTTATAAAACTACCCTGTGCCCTGCTCGTATCAATATCAATTGGGAAAAAAACTCTACCCATATGGTGTTTTTTTAGGAAGAAAATAATTCACTCCTACAGATGATTGTATTGAAGAAGTGTAGAAAGTACCATTTTGTACATGAAATGAAAATTGTTGCGTAATGGTGATACTGTTCATACTATTTGTTTATTTAAAGAAACAATCTAACATGACATAGCTCAAGCTGGTGATGTTCAACCTTCTTATTCTATGAAAATAATGTAGCATGATATATCTCAAGCTGGTGATATTTAATGTTTTTGTTCTGAGTTCTATTTGTGGAGCACATTAATCAGTTGATCATATGACTTTTACATTTCTTTTCCTTTTTACTTTTATTGCAGTGGAAGTTTACCAAGGGAACCTTTACCATTAAGTGTCACTGGTCGATTGCCCACACCAGCAGATCTGGAATCCTATGCTCTTGATCAATGGGAGGTTAGGATGCCAAAGCTTAACTCAGAACGTGTTTACCATGCCTCCCTGTTTTTTACTTTTCTTTATAGTATCTTCACCGTCTTCTTGTTTTCCTCTTTGAATCCTGTGTTGGCCTATATATATAGATATATATCATTTTTCTATTTCGTGTTGGGATTATAGTGCTTCTTGTTGCAATTGATCAATTCATCTCAAGTCGAAAAAGGGACAAGTTTTAGCTCCTCCATGATGAAGACATTTCAGCGTGGTCTCCTGAGTTCAAGGTTCCATCTAGTTCCCTTGTCTTGACAGTTATGTTAGTTTCTTATAAATTAGTGATAGTCAAATATTGTTTGAAGAATAATGAATTGCCAAGTTGCTGCAACTCTTTATTTCTTGTAGTACAGTTGGATAATATATCCTGTGGCATTCTCTAGAATTCTACATGGTAATACATACACTAAACCGTAAGCAGTAACTACTCCCTCCATTCCAAATTATAAGACATTTTGGCTTTTTTAGATACATAGTTTTTGCTATGCACTTAGATATACACTAATCATGCTAGCGTTGTCTTCAGCCCTGTTCTTTCAAGGGGTGCTGTCTGCTTTTGGCTTCTTTTCTGTCTGCTTATCTTCATTAGACTGTTGGGTGCAAGTTCTGGCTAGGAAAGTCTTAGCTCTTCAAGAGAGTCTGTTTTTTATGTCTTTTCTGTTTTGCTTAAGTTTCCTCTTGCGCTGGAGGTCAAGCGCAGTCTGGTATCTGGGTAGATCCCTCTTGCGCTGGAGGTTAAGCGCATGCCTGTGCTCTGTCTTGACTCTTTTCTTATTTCTTCTTCAAACTCTCAAATGCTTGTATTTCCATTCAGTGGATGGAAATGGGGACATCCTCGAATCTAAAAAAAAATAAATAGATATACACTATGTCTAGATACTCAGTAAAAGCAATGTATCTAAAAAAGCCAAAACATCTTATAATTTGGAAAGGAGGGAGTAGTAAATTCAAGTTGATGGGGGCTGACAACAAATGCTGTTAGTTGATTAACTGATTATCCTAGAAATGATTCAGTTCAGCTGAATGTTTTTTTTTTTTGGTTAAAATAATCAAGATATTTGTAAATCATGTCTGATATCACCAACCATGTACAACATTTAAATCGTATTTTGATTTGTTGCTGTATGTTGACCAGCTTCTCTATATATTTTTGATCGACTGATATAAGCGATAATTTTGATGATATGATTTCCTGATTTGGTGTGCTTGCAGGGATGGTGAAGCTTCAAAGTTAACTGAGAATGGCTTCCAATTTCTTGTTAGTTCTCTGTTCTCAGCTAATATGTTAACCGACAGATTTCCGTCTTTGGCTCTTAATATTTTCTATGGTATCAGCTGATGGAAACAAATGCACAACTTTGGTACATAATGAGAGAATACATTTCATCTGCAGAGGTATTGGTGGCATATCCTTGTAATATTTCTGTTGATTTACGTTGGTGACTTTGTGTTAAACTCTTTTGCTGATTATTTGTGTTATCGAATAGGAACGTGGAGTGGACCCTACAGAGCTGATATCATTTCTCTTGGAACTTAGCTTTCATAAATTGGGAGCGGTAAAGTGATACTACTTTCAGAACATCATGTTAAGCAAGTAGCTGTACACAATTTTCTTGCCAATATGGTGATGTCTGTGAAAACTCCTATATTCATAGCAACTTGTCCTTTGGCAACACAATGCATTAATAGGAAAAATGAAGTTCTCATAAGTGATATCAGATGAGCATCTTGAAGAAGCTGTAACTATTCCAGGATATTTTACATGGTAGGAACATCAAGCTTGCATGTCTGATTAAGAATACTTGAAAAAAATTTAAAGGCACTGCAGTCTGCATCTAATAAATGAAATTAACCTGCATCTTACGTCGAAGTTTGTGCCTGGTATGTTGGTTGAGAAATTCATGGCCATGCATTCTTTCTGCTTTGTGCATGTTTCAGGCTTATAGCTTGAATACTCTGACTGATGTCCAAAGGATTGCCATCAGGGATCTTGCAGAATTGGGACTAGTCAAACAGCAGCAGGTAGAAATTTTATCTTTTGTTCTTTTGCCCCGACCATCTTTCTAATGATAATAGCAAGTTTTGAATTTCAGGGTCGAACGGATCGCTGGTTCATTCCTACCCAACTGGCTACTAATCTCTCAGCAAGCTTGTCAGATTCGTCATCTAACAAAGAGGTTGCATAACATTTACATTCCTTGCTTCTGCAATTATTTATGTTTTTCCAAATCTTCTCTGTAACCTCAAACAACTTGTCCCCTATAAGCAAGCAGTGATCATGATTATAAAACATGTAGTGTGTTTAATCTCAGAGTTGATATTGGTATTGTTGTCGCAGGGATTTGTGGTTGTGGAGACAAACTTTCGAATGTATGCATACTCTACTTCCAAACTGCACTGTGAAATTCTACGCCTTTTTTCAAGGTACATGAGATATCTTATGACTGTTTTTTAATTAATGCTATGGTATCGTAGCAGTTAGCATGTAGCTCGCTAGCTCCTGTCAGAGAACTACATTCTTCTGTTTATTAATGTGCTACATGCTATATGTCGCATGCAAAGAGGGCAACTAATGTGTCATAACTCTGTGGGCTCTGTACTAAAGTTCGATTACCTGACTGTTATGTCAGTATATTTTAATTCAGTTAATCTGACATTACTACTAGATTGCTCAGTGGTCACCACTGTTGTGAGTTCCAGATAGATGCTTGTTTAGATTTTTTTTTTTTTGGCTTTCATAAATTAGACTGCATAGGTTAAGCTTCTAGTGTAATTAGGCAAACTCTTGAATTACTTAAGTAAGCCATCTGTAGACATTTCTTGGAGGTGGTAACACTTTGGAGTTGTGTTACTGTGGGTGTCTTGCAGATCTTGCTGTTTGAACCACCTGCATCTGAAAGTATTGTTGTCAGCTGTGCACTTTTGACTGTATTGTGTCCAGATGGTGCTTTGCCACCTTGTGCTAGCTTTGCAACGAACATGGCAAGGTGAAATTGACTTTTGTATCCTACTACTGAGGTTGATTAGAGACTCCAAGATTTGAAACTGAAAACATGGTTTTGAATGAGTTTAGTTGACAGGATTTGTTCGTAGGGTTCATTATATTGGCAATTTGACGTGATTAGTTCTGTGATATTACTTTGTGTGATGCCAATATTTTTATCTTTGTTGACGCGCTCATTTATTCTGAAAGGAAAGTATTCAGTGTTCACTTTGTGTTTTCTTTCAAGGGTGGAGTATCAACTTCCAAACCTCATCGTAGGAGCTGTTACAAAAGAAAGTATCTATGGTGCTTTTGAGAATGGAATAACTGCTGAGCAGGTACATCTCTGTAATACAACCTCCGTTTACTTGTAATCTTAAAACGTGCACAGCCGATCTTCTAAAACTGTGGCCACTATATGCATCAAAGTATGGTAGATTGTATTCATGTGAAATGAGGAAAATGTATAGGTATATTTGTTATTAAAAGTATTGACACATATAGGTTTATTGCGGAGACTGTCAACCAAACTGGCGAGTCATAGACAGTGTGGGTAGTATGTTAAAATCCGTTATGCATCACCTATCAGAATTTACAGTTTCTTTGTTAGACATAGTGTGAGTTTCAGTAACGGATTTTGTCCACCAGCTTAGTTTCTATTCTTTTTCTTGTCTTGAAAAGGCAGTTGTAGGGTATCTGTAAAACCAGTCGTACATTTAAGATCTAGCTTGCATCTTGTTTTAACAAGACTGGTTGTCTTCTTGTTTTTCAGATAATTTCATTTCTTAGACAAAATGCTCACCCTCGTGTTGCTGACAAGATACCCGTAGTCCCGGAGAATGTCACAGATCAGGTAAGAACCGTGACCATTCAACACTTACTATGCTTTATTATTATACAGTACATTAGTAATTCGATGCTCATATATTCAGATTAGGCTGTGGGAAACTGACCGCAACAGGGTTGAGATGATTCCATCACATCTGTACGAAGATTTTCCTAGCAAGGTAAACACATATCTTTACCGTGCATCTGCCCAAAGGGTATCTGGCAAACATATACTACTCCCTTACTTTTCTGGTATACTGGCAGTGTATTTAATTCTACTTCCTCATGCAGGAATGGTTTGAACAATGCTGTGATTATGCAAGGGATAATGGGTACTTGCTCTGGGAGGACTCTAAGAGAATGAGACTGGTTGTACGAGGGGAGTTTCACCCTGAAATGAGGGAGTTCCTCCGCAGGCAAAGATGAAAAAAGACCTTGTACTTGATGGACCGTGCTGATCCATTCCTCAAACCGAGCAAAAATGTTAGGAACAAGATGATGGATCACCGTATTTCCCAAACCAACCAAACAATTACAGCGTTTCGGTAGTGTTGTGATTAACCTTTTGATTTTAGGACTAGGGTGCTGTTTGGTCTGGTGCTGGCAACGCCAACGGTAATGCAACCAAATCCCGCACCAATCGTTGCAGCGGAAGGGATACAGGCTTTTTGTTTGGTTGGCAGAGCAACGCGTGATAAATTGACGGGAGCAGTTACCGCTCGGTGGGGGGTGGGAACATGTCACGATCTTGAAAGGAACCGGACAGGGAAAGGGGAATCCGGGGTAGGAATCAGCAAGAACAGAGCGGGAATTGGAACGGAGGAAGTTGGGGAATAGTTTGGGTTTCTGTTATTCGATACCGAGTCAATTCTTACAACGGTTATTTATTCAGCCGGTCACTGACTTACACCATTGGGTCGAGCCCCTACTCCTATCTGGGCCAAGCCCACTCAACCAGCCTGCTAATCAGGGAAACAACACACTCATCTAGCCACGCCTGGACGTCTTCATAGTCTTCCTCGTCATGTTCGTGACAGGGGCCGGATCGATTCACGCCCTAATACGTTAGGGCTGGACATCCCAAACAGAAACTTACGTTACCCATTTACGCTGTGAACGGGTCACGCTCACGGGGTGAAAACGTCGAAACAAACGGCTCCTGGGTTCTACCTGGCTTCTCGCTGCTGCCGGCTTGTGTCCCGAGCTGCCACCGTAAAATAAAGTATCTCGTAGGCCACTGCAACATGTATTGTTGAGAATGAATAACCAAATAAAGTATCTCGTAGGCCATTGCATACATGTATCAAGATGGAATCAACACCACTTCATTAGTTCCCCTTCAAGAAATAGATGCAGATATGTAAACGTAGACACTTAAACCATAGATCCAGTTCAACAGATCAAGGATGCTAGCTACTAGTACTGCATGACCAATAGATCGATCAAAACATGAACAGTTCAACAGATTAAGGATGCTATTAGTACTGCATGACCAATACATCGATCAAAACATTAACAGTTCATCAGATTAAGGATGCGATCAAAACAGATTAAGCAGTGGCGGAGCATGGCTCACCAGCAAGAGGGGGCCAAAATTTTCATTTCAGTATCAAATCATAGTGACATATTGTAGATATACTATAGGTCTATAGCCCATTAAACTTCTGTCAACCAAGGGGGGCAGAGGCCTAGTTTAGCCTCCACTACCCTCCGCCCCTGAGATTAAGGATGCTACTCCCTCCATCTAGAAAAGAATGCAACTACGTGTTACGTGCCAGCATAAGTGGTTCACGTTTAACCAAATTTCAAGTAAAAACTATTTATATTTATGGCTCTAAAATAATTTATTATGAAAATACATTTCACAGTTAATCTAATGATATTTATTTGATATCATAAATATTAATATTTTTTATCTATAATTGATCAAACTTAGGATACTAAATTATGATACTGTGCTAGAATTGCATTCTTTTCTGGACGGAGGGAGTACTAATAATGTGCATAAACGACCTCAAGTACAAGTACGTGTTACTCTATGTGAATAACCCATTTCAAGTACTGCTAGGTGTTACTAGTACTCTCTCATACTGTTTACACAGGAACGCCGGCCGCCGGAGCATCTCGCACTTCACGCTCAACTGGCATCACCGGAGCTGCCGACATGGGATTGCCGCCTTCCAGTCCCGACACCTCCTCCCCGGTGCCAGCCGCTGCTAGTGGAGCGAAGGTAGCAGCCGGTGACAGGACACCAACGGCTACACTAGTAGAGAAACGACCTTTGATCCACCTCGAAATTTAACTTTAGTCCCGGTATTTTTCGCGCCCAGGATTAGAGAGACCTTTAGTCCCGGTTTGTAGCTCCAACCGGAATAAAGGTCTCTGCGCAATGGCTACTGCGGCAGGCTTTTGCTGCAGGGGACCTTTAGTCCCGATTAGAGCTACTAACCGGGACTAAATGTTAACTTTTACTCCCGGTTGGTACCTCCAACCGAAGTAAAAGTTTACTCCCAGCTGGAGGCTTCGTCCGAGACTAGAAAGGGACCTTTAGTCCCGGTTTATATATGCAACCGGGACTAAAGGTCTCTCTTCTCGCTGCTTCCTGAGCAATAACGCTGCACCCTCTCTCAATAAATGTGTTTGCATCCATCCGCTCTCCACTCCCCAGCTCGCAATAACTCCTTCCTCCCCAGCTCCACATTCTCCCATCTGCTGTTCCCCCTCCAACCATGGCGTCTTCTTCCTCCCTGAGATCTCGCCGTGCTCCTTCTCCCGCCTTCTCCTAGCTACCCAGCTGCGTGCGTGCCTTTCCTCATGCGATGTCACCGACAATCTTTGGAAGAAGGCATCACTGGCCGGGATCAAAGGTACAGATCGCCTGTCTCAGATCTCGCAGCCTAACCGGCTTCCTCCTCGCCAGGTTCTTGGCCTGGGAGCCCTTGCGTGTGCGTGCCCTGGATCTGGTAGTTGCTGCCTGTGCTGTTACGTGGCGTGTAAGCCGATCTATCTGTGGACATTTTTAGGCTAACGCTTACTTATTTTCCTCTCTTGGTTGACTTGCTTGGCTCACATACATATATATGTATATGTGACATGCATCTCCTTTTTTTGCAGAATGAAAGCTGATGATAGATGTATATGTATATGTGCCAACGGCTCGCACGCGGCGGCCAGACGGTGGCAGGCTTGCAGCTGCTCGCACGCTGCAGCCCGGCGGTGGCTCGGCAGGGCACCAGGCGTGCTCCGGTCCGACGCAGACGAGGTCCCCGCAGCGTCAAGCAGTTGGCCAAGCTCGACGCCTCCGCGCGCTCGTCTATTAGGGAATCTAGGGATTTGTAATTTGGTCTCCGCTCATATTTGATTTGTGCCCACCTTCATGCTTCCTTGATTTATGACTCAGTATGATTCTATTTGATTTGGTCAAGTTGTTCGTGGTGGTTTCGATTTGGTCTCAATCTAGTTGTCTGTGGTGGTTTGGATTTGTTCAGTTTGATTAGATCTGTGCTCTTGTTTTGATCTCGATTCGTTGCAGAGTGTCCTCAAAGGATTCTCTTGCATCTGGTGGGCGTAGAATGCGTATTCGAAAACCAAAACGAATCGTCAATTGAAAATAGAAACAAAAAAAGAAAAAAATAAAACATTTAGTCCTGGTTGGTAAGGGACGGCCCACGTGACCAGGCAGGGAGGCTCTTTTAGTCCGGTTGGCATTACCAACCGGGACTAAAGGTGGACTTTTAGTCCCGGACGTGAAACCGGGACTAAAGGAGGGGCTCTTTAGTCCCGGATTCGTGCTCCCGGTTTCAAAACCGGGACTGAAGGGGGTTGAGAACCGGAGTACAGCTCGTTTCTCTGCTAGTGCTAGGGGCTTCGAGTCCGGCACCGCGTCGCTCCCGTCGTCCGGCTTCAGTACCACACCATCATCTTCGTGGGAGCTAGCACACGGTTAATGGCCCTTGCCGTCTCCGCCGCGGCCGAGGAGGTGCGCATGCGGCGGCGGCACGGAGCGGTGGCGGGATTGACCCCTCTCGTGCTGGCAGGCTCTGGGGTTTTGGAGGAAGATTGCTGCATATGGGTGGATATTGGCTCCTCTCGTGCTCTAAAGCAGGCTCTGCGGTTTTGGAGGAAGAGAAGAAAGAAGAGTAAGGTGAGATACTCGTATGGTGAAGTAACTTGGGTTTTATAGAAAAGTGACGTTGGTCTCAACCTCGAATTTTAGGATTGTAAAAGTTCCTCGACGATCCACACAGGTTCAGGCATAGTAACTAGCAGGATAACAATGATGATTAAAGACTATACTACAATACTAGATACGATATTAAATCTGAGGACCGTAGAAGTTCCTCGACCATCCACCATATATACTACTATAATTAATTAGGCTTAATAGATTCGTCTCGCAATTTAGTCTCTATATGTATAATTAATTTTATAATTAGCTCATATTTAGTTTTCCTAATTAGCATCCGAACGTGTGACGTAACAAAGACTAACAACTACTACCAACAGAGGAGAGAGTGGCGGTGGGAGGGAGGGGGTGAAGAGATGATTGAAGGCGTGATCCATCATGATATACTACACTATAAACTACCATAATTAATTAGACTTAATAGATTTGTCTCGTAAATTAGTCTCTATCTGTATAATTAGTTTTATAATTAGCTTATATTTAGCTCTTCTAATTAGCATCCAAAACGTTCAATGTAGCTGGGAGTATAGCAGGGAGTATAGTTAGACGAACCAAACAACTACTACCAGTAGACAAACTACTACCAGCAGACAAGAGAGAGACGGGGGAGAGAGGGTGTGGAGAGATGGATGAAGGCGTGAAGCGACTGGGACTCTGGGAGTATCTTTTATAGCAAGACGTGACGTTGGTTTAGACCTTGAAGTTGGCATCTTGTCTTCTTATAGCTTCACCCTTCCTTATGTCTTACTTTTCGTTTTAGTGGTGAACTCGAACTACTACAGGACGGCTTGATTAGGATAAGACCGAGTGTTTCTGTACCATTTATTCTGAGATCGACGAAAAGAAAATTTTGAATCGCATCATTTTTTACTCAATGAATATAGGCATAACTCATGTTAAATTTATTTAGATATATTTTTAAAAAATCATATCTCTTATTGGTCTCTAAAGAAAATTAGATGAAATTTTACAAGCTTTGATAATTTTGAGAGTGGCAAAAGAAAAATGAAACACCGAATCAAAAACCTCATATAAAAACTTGTTTAAAATAAATGTTTGCAATCAATAAAAAAACAAAGCAGGGGATGTAATAAATGTTTGGAATCAATAAAAAAAACAAAGCAGGGGTGTATAGGGATCACAAAAGCTACCGTTCCCGCGATTGGGCGCAACGGAAGGAACGGGACACATATTTGGGTGAGATTGGGGGAGTTCGGGGCTCGGGCGCTCGGGAGTGGTT